CCCCCCCCCCCCCCCCCAGTTAATATTAATGTCTATGCTGACGTTTAGAAAGCCTTTGATGTTCTTTATCATGTAGCATTGTTATGAAATTAATTAACTATTGAATTTGATTTTCTATAATGGCAAAAGAAATTATAAAAACGGTTCAGACCAGTCTGACCTTTCCCTACAAACATATGTATGAATTTGTTTTAGAAAAAGGAGCTTTTCCTGACATCTGACATTAATTACCAACATCTGATCCAAATAGGTATAGAGGAGCAGAGTTATTTTTAGCACAAAACCTGCAATAATGCTATCTTCTATCAAATTACTGTTTTTTAGAATTGTGAAACGAAGCGACCAGAAACTTTACATTGTCTTATATAAATGTTATAGACAGCTCAAGATGGTCTAGGCCTGTGGTAAAATTAAAAACAGACTTCTCCCCTCCTTATATAATATGATATAATGAGTTCTCCCTAATCCTGCAGATGATGTGCAAGTGGATATAGGGACATCTTCCAAATTTTTATTGAAACAGATATCTGTGTTATATTTGTGAATGTTCCTCACTTACAAGCTTTTTGGCCTACTGGTTGGTCCTTAAAAAAAAACCCAGAAACAGCTAAATTATTTCCTCTGTAAAGAATCTGTAAGCTTACCATCTAAATCCCAAACCAGATTCAGATATGAAAAAAAAAACTTTGAAAAGGAAATAATAATACAGAGTAGTCCCCACTGATTGTAGATCAATAAGAATTCTCCAATTGAAAGGTTATTGTAGTAATGCCTTGAGATGACTAAATACAGCGAGGGGTAATAATGTTAAAACTATTTGTTATTAAATTTGGCATGTACAAAGGCTAGCAAAATCTACTTGTGTCTGGAGGCCTGATTTCATTTCTAATCCTAGTATCCAGTCAAACACTAAGTGGAGGAGAGTTTAGTTTTGAAGGAATTTCTCTATCACAATTAGTTTGGTTAGCCTGTAGTTAAATAAAAGGATGAGGAATACTAATTGTTTTTTATTGTTTTACCCCATATAGTGAGACTTCGTCTACCATCCTCTAAAATAGGTTATTGTGCCCAGTTTTATTTCTGTCTCTATTCTAGTCCTTGCACAAAAGGGGCCAATTTAAACAGATGAACAAAATCAGTTTAGTTTTTCTCGCACCTCTGTCATATACCACGTCATACCCCATGCTAGATTTTTCTATCTCGTCCGATCTGTCTAGCACCTTTATGCAACATTTCGCGGAATTTTTACACTGCGATGTATTCATCCAGGCGTTAACTGCTTGAAATTGACAATCTGCATTATAAATGTTCTGTTTTGTTATATGTATAGTTTTGATGTTGTTAGATATCTTATGTTGTAGATAAAATATAATCTACACTGTGAAATAAGTTTTCATCTATGTAAGAACGGACAGCATTTTTACGCGGAAGCATTCAAATGTAGCTTAAGTAGTGAAGAGGTCATTATCATTTGAGGCCCCAGACGGGATACTTACCCTAACCCTTACCCTAGTTTTTAGCAAAAAAAATAATTTTGATCGAACTAAAAGGTGCGAGAAAAAAAATCAATTACCTGTAACTGAGCGAGATGGGTTTTCTCAGTCAAGGGTTAAGATTCTGTAACAAAATCCCAACCGAGGCGTATTGGGTTATCTCAGTCTCGGGCTAAGATTCTGTAACATCCCAAACTCGGCTTACGCCTCGGTTGGGATTTTGTTACAGAATCTTAACCCTCGACTGAGAAAACCCAATCTCGCTCAGTTACAGGTAATAGATTTTATTAGGCCTGTAACCACTTAATAAAGTAAAGTTTCCAACTAGATGGCCACATCAAAAGCTGTTTTAGATGTAGCTGTCTGTTGACTTGACATGTGTGAAACTGCTGATCTAGTATCTCAGTGGATAGAACAACAACATGATGAACAGGGGTCCAGGGTTCAAATCCTAGTTTGGTCCTGTGTTGCATTTTTACATAGAATACTGTTTTGTTTGATTAATTCAGTTTTCTACAAAGTATGATTTAGGTAAGGTAAGTTAGCTAAGTTTACTTTGAGATCACTGTAAAGTTTGCTAAGATCACTGTGCGCTATGTATTCGTGGATTGCCGCCTGTAGGCATCGATCTGTTTGTAGAACTATCAGTCAAGTGTCTTTCGTCACACGCCTCTGTGAATCACATAACCTGCACATCAATATTTCATGTAGACCCAGAAAACTTTCAACACCCATGATATCATCGCCATGGTTACATCATTTATATGGCCACACGAAGCGAGTATTTTTTGCCCATCAGACAGACTGGGGTTGGACAAAGGATTTACACATGTCCCGTCCGTCCCTTCTCTTACAAATCACTTGTTATCAACTTCTCAAACCTGTGAATCCATTACTTATTGATTTTTAGGTATAGCAGCCATCTATATAAACACAACAAAGAGATGTTCCTGAGTTCTCACCTCCTTAAAAGGGCCTACGATGGGACATTCTGACAGAATCGTTACCACACAATCCTTAATGGCAAATATGCATGGTGTTTTTTTGTGAAAATAAAAACTTTGAGTGCTTTGTAAAGGCGACAGTTTACTCTGCCTACTGACAACTTGACATGCCATGACGTCGCAGAAAACGTTAAACAGACAGCCAGAAATGTACAGAGAAAAATAGCGATGCTGCGACGGTATATCAAGGGAATATTTTATGAACATTTTATTGGGGGAAAGTTTTCATCAAATCCTTGCAAATATATTTTATTTGTAAAGCCTTTGATTTATCAGCCATGAGCTTTGTTTGTAGTCCCTGAACTTTTTTGTGAGCTATGGACTTCATTTCGTAAACCATGAACTGTTTTATGAACTTTATTTCACGAGTACTTAGCTGCTTTGTTAGTCTGGAACATGTTTTTTGAGCTATAGCCATTGTTTTTCAATCAATGAAAATTAATATCTTTGTTATGTTGTAAATGGACTTTTTGTGAATGAAACAAGAGGCCAAATGGGCCTGCATTGCTCACCTGGTATTAATCTCACAAATGTAACCTTAAAAGTGGAATAAAATAAAGCAACAGGCAAAATATCAGTGTCTTGACTTCAAGTCATTCAGAAGAACCTGTTAAACAATTAAAACACATTTGACACTGTGACCTTGAAAGTCAAACATGGACATTAAGTTGAACAAACTTCATAGCCCTTCCTCCCAGAATGCAATTTGCCAAATATCACCACGTTATACTTTTTGTTTATCCAGAAGATGACTTTTAAAGATTTATGCACTATGGACCAGATGTGACCATGAAAACGTATCAAGGTCATTCATATCTACAAGCAATCACCCTGTACACCTAAGTTATTCAGAGTAGTCGTTTAAAGATTTCAACATATTTGACCCCTGTGACCTTGATTATAGGCAAAGGTCATTCATTTAAACAAACTTCGTAGCCCTTCATGCCGACATTCTTCTGGCCAAATATCATCACCCTGGACCTTTTGGTTATACAAAAGAAGTCATTTAAAGGTTTTTTGATCCCTTTGACCTTGAATATGATTGAAGGTCATTTGTTTAAACACACTTGGTAGCCCTTCATGCCAACATCCTTCTGGCCAAATATCATCACCCTGGACCTTTTGGTTATACAGAAGAAGTCGTTAAAAGGTTTTCAAGACAATTGACCCCTGTGATGTTGAATATGGGCAAAGGTCATTCATTTGAACAAACTTCGTAGCCCTTCTTGCTAACATCCTTTTGACCAAATATCATCACCCTGGACATTTCGGTTTTACAGAAGAAGTTGTTTAAAGTTTTTAAACATATTTCACCATTGTGACCTTGAAATTTGTCAAGGTCATTCATTTGAACAAACTTGGTAGCCCTTCATCTGTGCATGTTACTTGCCAAATTTAAGCACCCTATGCGTATTGGTTATTCAGAAGAAGTTGTTTAAAGGTTTTAAACATATTTGACCCCTTTGACCTTGAGTATAAGTTAAGGTCATTTTTTTGAACAAACTTGGTAGCCCTTCATCCCAGCATGTTACTGGCCAAATATCATCACCCTAGGCCTCTTGGTTATTCAGAAGAAGTTGTTTAATGATTTTAACAT